CAGCATATTATAGAGGCCGTAAGGCAGGGCATGGAGAACAATATACTGGACAGTCTCCTGCCCAAGGTCCACACTAAGATAAACAAAATAATATTGATTTTTTTATATTTTAGGGTATCTTAATGGCACATGCTGTTGGTGTTCAGTGTACTGGCCCTTCCCCGCCATCTGTTACCCTTTCTGCAGGAGAAGAACGTTCTGCAGGATGTGCAACTGGAACTTCAAACTCGCAAGCCTCATTGACTCAGCATAATATTAATAGTTCACCTGGTCTCGAAGACAATATGGAGCACATTGCTGATCGGCTTCATACCCTCCATCAATTATATGAGAATAGAAACCAGGTAGATTGCAATTCATAATAGCAAGTGGCAACTATATTTTACATTCCTGACTTAACATTTCTGTATCTGTGCTTCTTTTTCCTGCTTGCATCAGATGGTCACTTTGCAGGAGTTATATGCTATAAAACACTTTCCTTTATATACAGCTGTCCTAGCCACCATAATGCAGAGAAGGTGAATCACCTTTTGTCTTATTCAAATTTCTTATTTTGTTGTTCCTTCTTATTGAGTCAGTTTTTTGTTTGCAGAGTCATCCTACTAGGTATCTGTTAACAAATATGTTAACTGTAAACTTTTGCAGTGTTTAAATTAATTTCCCTGCACTGTTGCTGGCTACTGCAAGAGTCACAGGAGCAGGAAGTTTAATTCCACCAGTATAATATGTTGTGTCACTTGATTTTAGTTTAATGAATACAGTTACCACACATACTTAAAAGTAGAACTCATTAAAACAACTTCAGTTTTGAATACATTTTCAATATTTGGACCATTGATGTACACTGTACATTAAATAGTTCACCATAACTGTTCCTTATCCAAGTTTATTACTGTGGTTTGAAATACTGCCCTTCCCTTCTGGAAGTTGTCAGTCTTTGAATTCCTGCTTGGTATCTAAGAGACTTTTCTCTGTTCAGTTACAGCCCTTAGATTAGAGCCTGTCCTTCTGCTAGTTGTGCATCAGCTGCTAATGTTGCCTGCAGCTACTTCAATATATTTTAGACAAAAATTATTTCCCTTAATCACATTCTACAATAACTGTGTTGCTATCCAGATATTAGATATTAATTACATTCAATATAAACGTGTGTGTTTATATATATCCCCCTGTAATTTGTTTCCCCTGCTACTCACCATTGACTAACTGTGTGTTATAATTCTAATTATGAGATATATAAATTTTCTGATCTAGTCCAATGTATTTTTTACATATTTTCTTCTCATTTTAATATAATTGACTTCATTTACTTGAGCTATTATTACAAAGATATTAATATTTTTAGTATGTATATACATCCTCTACACTCATGTAATTCTTTAATAAACTTTTTCTTGTTACCTTTCTGTATTTATTATATATGCAACTTTTGATCTATGCCACAGTTGCCAGATGTCTGTTTTCCTGTAAATCATTAACTAATATTTTTTTACATATCTTTCCATTTGGGAATATTACATGATCCCTTTTTTAGGATGAGAAAAAAGTAAAGGTACCTTGTCTAATAGTCAGATAAATATGCTAATTATGATGATGTCCATTTACATTAATGTGATTTATCTCACAAGCTGGCACAGATACTTGGCGAGAGAGATGATGAACTAGTATCTGAACATCTAGTGTTGCAAGACAAGCTTCAAGAACTGCAATACAAGAAGCAGCATATGGACCATCTGCTGGCAGAGTTTCAGACTCTCAACAATCTTCCTGGTGTAACTACAGGTAAACACAGTACACTGAGTTCAGAGACTTCGTCATATGCAGTAGTCGAACTTTACAGTGTCCCACTGATTCAAACAGGCCTTGTGAACATAGGTCTGGGAATGATTCTTTAAAAACATATAGAATTTTATATGTCCATCCATCTGCAAATTTTAATCTCCAGAACTACCATGAGAATTTGTGCAAAATTTTGTGTCATCTACTATAATTTATAATTTACTAAAGAAAATCATTGCAAAAAAAACTATTTCAATTTTTGATCATTTTTGTGATTGTAGGTTCTCAGGTAGATGCTGGGAGCAGCAAGGATGGGAGTGAAGATGGTGAGGCAGAATGCTCAGATGGCGAGGCAGACTATGAGGTTGTGCGGGATAAGGTAGCAGAACTGAACATGATGAGGGCTCAGCTGGCCCAGCTAAAAGGCATTATGTCAGAAGTTCAGAACACGGAGGGCATTAATGAAATCTATCAGGTGGGTGTGAATAGAAAATGTGAGCAGGATACTGGGGGGTACAGATGACATTTTCCTGGAGTATTAAGAAATGGACAAGAAGGTATAAAATATGAAACCAGGTTAGTAGAAAATAGACAAACTCCAGGAAAAGCTGGTGAAATGAAGGATACGGTGGTGTAGGCATTGTTGAAGAAGGGTCCCTTGAAAGCTTAAAAATGACGATGTCAAGTTATCATTGGGGAGACCAAGGACAAGACAGAGGGTCTAACAAGGAAAATGGAAATGAAAATGTGATCAATGGAAAATAAAGAGACACACATCTCACTTTTAGCCAAGTGGGCCATAGTTCCTGAAATATATGCTTTAAATTTGTCCCTTTGTTATTGATGTGGTAGAAGTTATCTTTCTGGCTATTAAGGCCCCGTAGTGGAAGGGATAAGGTTGTGGACTTGTAATGTGGGAGTCACACATTTGATCCCAATTGATTTATCCATTTGATTCAGTAGTTTTTAAAAGTTTACTACCTTGAGAAAAGGTCAGGAATATAGAGGTTCAAATCCAGGACTTCCACATTAATAGTCCATAACCTTGTCTTTAGCTGCTGGGCAACCCATAATTTCTGTTGCCATATATAAGTGAATGTTTAGAAACTAAGGCCCATTGGACAAAAGGGCAAGACAGATGCCTTTATTTTCCATATGTTTTCAGTTGATCCCATTTTTGTTGAAATTTATGACCTTTCCTTGTAAGTGAGGGGAATATATACAAAACAGAGTA